CTGGGGAATTCTGGGAGTTGAAGTGGCCAAGTTTGGACAACACTGAGTTAGATGATTAAAACTGAATATTATACCTGAAGGTGGATCTAGTGAATCCTGGTATTACAGAACGCAACCTATCTGAACTGAACTACTACAGACATATATTTGAGAATCAAAGAATGTTGAACCTGGGAATTTATTCAGTGTACCAGTACTAAACAAAACTCAAAGTTCTTGATTCGGATGATTATGTGCCATCAAGTTGGTGCTGATTCCTAGCAACCATACTGATTTTCTCCAAGATGATCTGTCTGATCCAGCCTGGTCCTTCAGGTCTTCTAATGGTGCATTGGTTCACTGCTGCTGAAATCCACCTTACTGCTGGTCACCCTCTTCTTCCCTCCCCTTCCACCTTTTCCAGCATTAGAGCCTTTTCCAGAGAGCTGGGTCTTTGCATAATGTGTCCAAAATATGATAATTTGAGCCTGGTCATTAGTGCCTTAAATGAGAACTCTGGATCGATTTGTTCTATGATCCATTTTTTTGGATGTTTGGCTAACCATAGTATTTTCAGGAGTCTTCTCCAACACCAGATTTCAAAGTGTTAATACCCTTTCTATCCCGCTTCTCCACAGTCCAACTTTTGCTTCCATAGAGCAATGCCGGGAAAACCATTGCCTGTACTATTCTGATCACTGTAGGTATAGATACATCCCAACACCTAAATATCTTTTCAAGGCCTTCCTTGCTACTCTAGCAAGTGCTACCCTGTGATGCCTTTCTTGACTGCTGGTTCCTTTACTGTTGGCAGTTGATTCCAAAAGGCAGAGGCTATTCACCACTTCAATATCTTCACTGTCTTTTTATATATATATATATATAATTTTGATTAACAATTTTGATTACAGTAGTAAAATCTAATACAAACTAAACTTAAAAAAAGAGAATAGAAAGGAGTAAAAAATGCAAGAAAAAAGTAGGAATATAATAAGGAAAGAGAAAAGAAATATATAAAGAAGTGACTTCCAACCTTCATCACCACAAGCGTAAACAAATTTAATGACTCTTCACCCCCTCTAAGGTTACAAATATTTTTCTCTTCATCCCATATCCCATCCCTTATCTTTAAACAAATCCATAAAACATCTTTTCAGTCCTGGCGTCAGCAGAAAGTTCATTAAGGGTTGCCAGAGGTAACAACATATCTTGTTTTAACCTTGAATTAATAAACCAACTTTATATTCCTTCCTTTTATTTCTAACAATCTTAATCTTTACATTTAACATTTCTTCAATAACATCTTTTGGACATAGTCTATCCATAGAAGCAGACATCATTACTGACATTGCTGATAATGTGGCTACTATTTTCTGATTCCATTCTTCAAAAGTCTCCTTCAGTATTTTCATTATTAGCAACAATGTTTTGCAACGTTTTGCAAGTTTAGTCCCCTCTAGTATCCAGTTTTTGAAATTATGAAATTGCTTATGTTTTGTCTTGTAAAAACTACAACAATCTATTTCCTACAAGAAACTGTTTGTTCTTTATAATTAATTCCAAAATCTAATTGTAAAAGTTTCAATATTCCATTTTTATCTGGACCCTTAGTCCATTTATAACTTTCTAAGATCAAAATCTTACTTAGCTTTTTGCTGTTTATTTCATATTCTTTAAGTTCTTAAGTTTATGATTAAAATTTTCTTTCATTCAGGATTGAAAGCACACTCACCCAGCATTCTCAGACTTGTTGGTCTGAAGGTCTCTAATAGCTTAGAAGTAGTTAATGAGCAATTTCCAAAAGTGAATAGTGAGGTTTGTGAACTTAGTGTCCTTTAAAAGTCTCCACTGAGGGTGCAAGCAAGACTAGTAATCGCATCATCTCCCAGTGCTCACCCCATGGAAAACTGCTATCCTGCAGTCTCCTCACAAGGAGCAGCTGTCTGGAGCACATGTGGGTGTTCTCCCATCCTCTCCTTAGCCAGAGAGATTCCAAGGACGCAGCCTACTCAACTGTTCCTTGGTCTTTGCCACGGTCCATCCAGACTGTGGCTACTTGACTTCTGTATAGGTTTCACATAGGGACAAGATGTTCTGGGATTCCCATTTTCCTAAGCACATTCCAGAGTTTGACATGGTCAACACAACTGAAGACCACACTATAATCAATGAAGCACGTACTGACTTATTTTTGGTATTAGTTGGCTTTCTTAATTATACAGTCTACATCAACAATAATGTTGCTTGTTCCTTGGCCTTTTCTAAAGCCAGCTGGAACACTTGGCATCTCTCTTTCCATGTAGGGCTCTAATCTGTGTTAGGTGATCCTAAACATTATTTTACTAGCATATGAAATTAAGGATATTATACAATCATTTGTACACTTTTTAAAGTCTCCTTTCTTTGGTACTGGTACTGATTGATCTCTTCCAATATTTTGGCCACTGTGTTTTTTGCCAGATTTGCTGGCATAGTCTGCTTAGAACCTTTACAGATTCTTCTTCAGATGGGTGCCATATTCCTGTAGATACTTCATCAATTCCTGTAGCCTTCTGACTTGGTAATGACTGGACTGCTGATCTAATTTCATCTTCCAGTACTAGAGGTTCTTGTAAGTAGTGAATATTATATATATAATAAGGTATTTTGGATGTTGACATTTCTACTGTACAAAATTTCAGTATACTCCTTCCTTGCTTGATCTTCTTGGAATCAGTTACTAACTCAAAGTCTACTGCATATAAATTGACTCCAAGTTATCATCCTTTCAGCAATATAATACTGGGAGTCAGAAATTCATGTTGCTCAGTTGTAGATTATTGAGATAGGAGATCTCAAATAACAAATAGGAGATCCAGATTTCTAATTTCTGCCCACTCCTGTTGTTCAGCTGTACTCCATCTATTTCAAATAGGAGAAATCTCAGGTAAATAAAGGAAAGTCAAAAGTGTATTTCAATATGGGTATTCAATCTTAACAATGCTAACTCTTAACGTAGTTTTTTTCATCATTGTGTTTGTCCAGATGGATATAATTTTAAATTAACAAACCCCAAGATTTCTCTCATTTAAGTGATCAATACAAGAGGCTTTGCAACAGATTGCACTGTTTCACAACCACGATCTATTCAAATGCAATTGTCAAAAATTTTGAAATAGTGCAGTGATCAGTCTATGGGCTTTTTCAAGAAGGATGGTGCATTTTTGTGACTGATTATGACATTTACAGTTAGTTCCTCTTTCCAAACTGGATGTAACCAGTTCTTTGCAGAAAATACTAACAGTGAAAGTATTTTGTTAACATTTCATATATATTGTTGATCAATCCATTTACCTATTTTTAAGTTTACTGAAATATCAAGGAATTTTGGGAATCCCAAAATGATGAACTAATTTTAACTAATTTTAATACTTAGGGAAAGTGTTGTTGCCAGATGTCTTACAGCTCATTTCTTTTCTATAGGCACCACTGATGAACAACTTGGTAACCGATATAACTAGCAATGCAAATTTCCTAAGGTTACTTCAAAACAAGGAGGCGCCAGGCTTCCTGCTGTCACAACCCTTTGCAATAAGAATATCCGTCCGTAGCATAAAATGTACAAATGCAAGAGAGTATCATATTAAGAATATATTCAATCCCAAAGTCAACAGCAGTTGAAAGAATGTCTTCTTCCAAATAAGGATGGTTACACTGTGAAGCTCCAGTAATGGGGATTAAGTTAAGGGAGAGAACGCACGGCAAGATGATTGACCAGAAATGCCCAGCATGACATCAACCAAAAGGGCTGAGGAAGCATAACATGTTCCGTGGGAAGAGACAGATGCCTACCCAGCTGTTAGGGGTCACTCACATAGCACAGTTTGTAACTTCTCTGGTGTCCTTTCTTTTCTTTTCTTTTTTAAAAAAATTGAAATACAGAAGTCTATTTCTAGGGGTTTGTTGCTGGTGGGCTAAACAAGTGGGC